AAGGAAGTTTGGACATTTAAGAGACGATTTTTCTACTTTTCGTACATATTTGTTGAAATAATTTTTTTGTTTTTTGGCCTATGGGCGCCACCACTGTGCGTTGGCATTCCACGTAGATATACGTAGATTGGACATTGATTATTTCGACTGTTGTGCTACAAGCAACTGTATCACCATATTCTGATTCTGGACAAGCATTTGCATGGTCGTTTTCATTAATGACATGAGTTGCATCAGACTTTGTTTCATGGTAACCATCATAGATTCCAAGTTGTTTTGGGGCTGCCCTGGGGCTTGCGGAGCGTTTACGGAGTTTGAGCGGAGTGGATTTACTATAACTGTTTGTAGAGCTTTGGCGTAGAAGACGCCCGTGGGGGTATTTAGCGGACCAAAAGAGGATCTGGCAGCTTTGGCAAAAAATGGACACATTTTTTTCAGTCAGCTTCTGAGTCAAAGTTTCTCAGTTCCTTCAAGGTCGTCACGTTACTTTCAGCCTTTTATGTTCGCGTTTTATGTTCGCGTTTTATGTTCGCTTTACAACGACTTGTACGTTTTGTTGTATTTTGAAATGTTTATATCTTAAGACATCTATCCTTGCCTATGGCCACCTGATATGAGTCGGAGCATATCGTTAAAAAACACTCCATATCCGGTCAGAGGTAAGGAAATAGATTTATAATGGGAGATGTTTGCTATTCTTAATAATAATAATAGTTTGGGAGTACGGAACGAATCACGATCTAAATTGAACCGTTAGAAAAAAAAAACGATGAAAATTTGGAATTATTTTTTTCCCAACGAACTAAATCCTCATGTAATAAACAAACAATAATATCAAAGAGGCGCTTGTAATCAGCACACAAATCCCAAAGGGGTTTATGTACTTCAAACTCCTGTCTACGAGCAACTTACATTTCATGTACCCCGGAGGTGTTTCGAACCAACCCACGTCTCAGAATTCATGGGGAGGCAAGTTCCAAAGGGAGGTCAAAAATATATGTATTTATCTGAGCTGAACATATATTTTTAAAGAATTTGTTGGTTTTAATTAAGAATGTTTGGGATTATTGCGTTGTTTTAATACCGAATCTCAAATAAATTAACAACAAATTCTGAATCGTACTTCAAAATTTCTAGAAATGGTGATAATATATATTAAGATTGTTTATTATTTTATAATTTAAGTTGCAATAATGTTGCAATAGTATATTAGGGATAGCAATCCTAAAGAACTATAATATTCTTTGTACCATGTATTTATTGAAACATTGATAATAAATTTGTTTTTGTTTTTAGTTTTTATTTACAAACTAAGGAAAGGACAATATACCAAAGAAGTGTAACATGAATATAAGGAAGTTTTATTTTAATTTGTTTTTTCTTTTTTTTTTTTATTTAACAAGTGATTAATAAAATTGATATTTTTTGTTAAAAATTTTACTTTTATTTTTTAAACATTACAAATTAAAATAAAGTTCAAATACACTAAAATAACTCCTAATTTTTTTTATTTGAAACATCGATGAAACATCGATGTCCGTGAACATCTATGTTTCTCCACCTCTACAGTCAAGGTGGTGTTCGATTACTAAGGCTGCCAAGAGAGTAGAGGTGGGGAACAATCGATAACACTATCGGTACTATCGATGGTTGCCCACTATCGCGGCTCCCCTTGACGGCAACCAAGCACCTTCGATGGTGGCATCGATAGTCGGCGTTTCACTTCGCAATAGCTATGATTACTGAGGCCTTATGCTAAAAGTAAATGCGTTTTTTGTTATATAAAAAGTCAATATGTTGATATGTAGGTCGATATTATCGACGACTATCAATCAAAAACAATATCGTCAAATATCAATGGCGCCAACTATCGATGCTTCTCCACCTCTACTCATATACTACAGCTGGAAATAAATTGATATTCAGTGATTCCATTTTTTCTTGAAAATTCGTTTATAATCGAAAAAATCGCAAACGGAAAATTTTGGTTACGGTCTGTCGGACCTAGGATAGCTCGCGGGACGTCCAGGGTCCGCTCAGGAATTAATTTTGGTTCAGGCGTGGTTGCTGTAAGAGATTCCCCGAGCCGATGCCTTAAAGTGTAGTCTGTTTATTTATCGTAACGGTTACATTCAGTGTTCGATTATACGTCGGGGCTGGCTTCGTGCGGCGGCGGGCTTCTTGCGTCGCAGCTCGGATTCTCTCGTCGCAGTTCGGCCTCTCGAGTCGCGGCTCGGCTTCTCACGTCGCTTCGGCTGTCGTGGGCGGGTACCTAAGAATGAAAGATAAGAAACCGCCGTTGATGTCTCGGGACTCGATAGTCAGCTCGGAGAATTTATTGTCGGACTCGAAAGTCAGCTCGGAGAAGCTGTTGTCGGACTCGAAAGTCAGCTCAGAGAAGTTTGTTGTTGGACTCGAAAGTCAGCTCAGAGAAGTTTATTATTGGACTCGAAAGTCAGCTCAGAGAAGTTATTGTCGGACTCGAAAGTCAGCTCAGAGAAGTTATTGTCGGACTCTTGGGGAAGAAGAGTTAGCGGGGGGAAAACTACGGGGAGTAACTACAATGTATTGAGTGGAACCTGTGGTTACCTGGTTCCTAAAAAGTGACTTGGCTGCTGATTAATAGGGCGAGAGACTCGACCTAATTCGCAATGGGCTGTTGGGTCATTTCTCCAGGTCTGTGGCCTGCTTTACATAGGCCCTGGCGAGGCTTCCGTGTGCCTAGAGTCTTGTGCGGGATTTGCCCGGACCAGTGTGGCCAGCTGTGCCGCGGTCCAGTGTTCCCGGGCGGTGGAGGTACCTTTGAATTCGAAATTCTTGTTTGGGCGCGGCCCGCGTCAAATTTTTATAATATAGGGATAAACATCAAAAATTTCTAGTTCCAAGGTTCTTTATATTTTATCTATCGATAATTGTATTTAAATTGGAGCTTTTTTGTGTTCCCACCCTTTATATGGCATCGAAAATACCGAATTCCGGAATATCGCGATATTCCGAAACAAGCAAAGATTACAATTAATAATAATAAAAATTTTCAAATTTGTACATCACTTTTCAACGAGATTACATATGTTTAGAACTTGTTCGATTAAATCGATTCTGAAAAGTTATATTGATATATATGCGATAATAATTTTAAAAAATCGATAAGAGTCGATTATTTCCAGCTTAACCAAACCTAGTGGGACGACAGATGTAGCACTAATGAATTTGGATAGAGCATTTTGAAACAGAACCCTTTGATCCCTGTCACTCAAATAACACAAAATCCATTTAATAAGATCAACAAGACCCCACCCCCTAGATATTCTTTAATTATAGCTATGGCGCTTTCCACATTTAAATTCCTTATTCCCATAACTATTTACGTTTGTAAGAAGCGAGAATATAAAATCAGAGGTGCACCATAAAACCACATAAATAAATATCGGCTTTAAAAGGTTCATCATCAGATGGTGGATGACAGATGGATCTCCGTACGATAGATCTCTCTATATACTTGTGTATACTAAGTTTTCCGTTATAGCCGTATGACACTAGCGCATTAATTAGAGACTTCATTAAAGATTTGACAGCGCTATAGCGTTTTACACAAATGCGAGCAAGACGACTATATGGCGCATTATTCTAATGCATTAGCTACTTTATTGCCGCGATAATCGATAGATCTACATAAAATATACTAGATACTCGATAACAAAATACGGGTTTAATGAAGAAAATTGTAATTGAAAAATGTATTAGCCAGCACATTGACAGTATGGTCTCACAATGAGAATTTTATTTTTATACAATTTCGCTGGTTTTTGAACTAAAAAAAAATTTTAGAAAATTAGGAAAAATAATATGTTTTGCGGTGGCAAGGTTCTTGCGCTGTAAAATTAATTAAAAATTTTTTTTTGTAATAATTAAAAAAATTGTAAGCATCATAAGTTAAAAACATAAATTTAAAGGATTCTGCATTTATTTATACAAGAATACTTCGACGAGGAATTCAGAAATTCATAGTCATACGCCGCGAATGGCGGCGGTTGTTTTTGTTTACCTTTTACGGTCGGTGTGACCGCAGTCGTATTACCAAAATAATCCAAGCAAAATTACACATATAGTGTACTCTTTCAAGGTTCTAATGAAGTTGCTAATTAATGAAAACTGTATTATACTGTCTTCCCACACAGCGCATTTGTGAGGAACGTTTGGGATTTTTCACAAATGTGAAACTCGTGTTCCCACACAACATTAAAGAGCATTTAGCATCCGAACAGCTGATCGATCAGCTGTGGCTCATGAAAACGTAAACAAAGGCTGTCGAATTGGCAGTTGCAAATTTGAAATGGAGCATTTACCAACTATTTTGGCTGTTGTAGAACAGCAAAAGGCACAGATTGCGTCAGAATTTATCCGCACTAAATTTAAATGAATTAAATGACAAGGAATTTCAGTTTTTCTAATGATTTTTCTCTAACAAAGAGCAACTTCCCCGAAGAGTGTCTATAGGTGGTATAGGCATCCAAAATCTTTAAAATTAGGTAGAGGTAGGCGGTTTATATTAAATAGTAACAATTGGGGACATATTGGGGCAAAAATATACAGAAAAAACGCCAACAACTATTTTGGGCATGCTTGTAGCTTTGGCGCCACGTTTTAAATTCCATATCTCATTTGTTCCTCGCCAATTTGTTTACATTTTCGTGGTCAAATTAAGAAGAAGAATCAGAGTTGCACCAAAGAACTATCGCCTAACTATCGCCAAACAAACCGTGGTTAGATTTTAATGCTGAACTAACGCCGGGCCATTTGGGAAAATTCGGAACGGCAAAACCTTATGGAGCATTTGTTCAACGGATGCTAAATGCGCTTTAATGCTGTGTGGGAAGACCCTATTAGAGTGTGATACGGCTATTATGAATAATATTTTGTCGATTTTAGTACTGAACTTAATAACTAATGTCTCATTTTGTTTTGTTTTTTTGGAAATCTAGCTTATTTTGGCTATTTTGGCAGCACTACTAATGTGAATCTCAATGGTATATTGGCTTCATTTTCTAAGTTGAACATTTTCGATTTCGTTTTAATGTGTGGAATTTTGTGCGCCGTTTCCCATGATGCTGATTCGAATTTTCAAAGTCTAATCGAGGCTCTCAAAGGGCTAATGAAAAATCGAGGCCCTGACAAACAGGCCGAAATTAAACTCAATTATGAAACTGGAAATATTTTGCTTGCCGGCAGCGTCTTATGGCAACAAGGGGCTGATTTACAAAAGCAGCCTATAAACGGAGGCAATTTCATTATTTTATTTAATGGAGATTTCTACAATTTACAGAAACCTGACAACATTTCTGATACTGCTTTTATAGCTAACAAATTAGCTAAGTGCAATAATGCTGAACAGATAATATCAGTTCTTAAGCTTTTGGAAGGACCACATAGTTTAATAATATTTGACAAACGCGATCAAATACTTTATTTTTCCCGTGACACACTGGGCAGAAATTCATTAATTATTGAACGCACCCAATATGGTATTAATTTATTGAGTACATCAGGATACTTTAATAGCAACCAATTATCATTAGAATTGCCTCCATTAGGTGTTTATCAAATTAATACTAATAATTTAACGTCATGTTTTTTGCACCTATGGCAGCCGATGAATGAGTACGCAGAGCAGCTTTTATACAACCTTGATGTTGTAGTTGGCCTGAAAACTACAGTAGAAAGTATAATTTCGCCTAGTTGGCTCCTAAAAAAAAATTTGGAATTTGACTATGATTTCTATAAATTTCCTTATAATGCTGACCATGTGGAGCTCTATCAAAATCTTATAAATCAACCACAGATTAAAGCATCGCTAAACACTCTTGATAAATTGCTTTCTAACTCTGTAGCAAACCGTGTTAAATGTACGGCTCCATTATGTCGAATCTGTTTAAGCGAACTTAATCAGAAGGAAACTGTCTGCAGGCATGCCAAAATATGCATTTTATTTTCAGGCGGCATAGATTGTACCATCTTGGCCTTACTTGCCAACAAATTTGTGCCCTATAATGAGCCGATTGAACTTATTAATGTTGCCTTCGAAAGCCTTAGCGGTCAAAACGTATCTGAGAAGCTTTGGGATGTACCTGACCGCAGAACTTCTCTTATGTCTGTCAACGAATTAAAGCGAATATGTCCTGAGCGGTTCTGGAATTTGCTGGAAGTTAATGTCACCCGCGAGGAGTTAAAAACACAACTTTCAACGCGTATAAAAAATCTCATATATCCACTTCAGACAATCTTGGATGAGAGTTTGGGATGTGCCTACTGGTTTGCTTCAAATTGCCCAAATTCAACTGCCCGAGTGGCCCTGATAGGTAGTGGAGCAGATGAGTTATTTGGTGGATATTGCCGTCATCGAAATGCATATAGGCGTTGCCTAGGAACCAATTCGGAGCGCCAACTTTCTGTGCAAAGCGAGCTTGATGTTGACTGGCAACGAATACCGGCCCGGAACTTGGCCAGAGATGATCGAGTTATTGCAGACAATGGCAAAACAGCGCGTTCACCATTCATCGAGGAGAACATTGTTCAATTTCTTAGATCTTTAGAACCGTTCCAAAAATGTTGCTTTAGTTTTCCCGAGGGTGTAGGAGATAAGTTGCTTCTAAGGCTGTACGGCTATAAAATCGGTCTGCGAGACGTGGCTTTGTTAAAAAAAAGAGCAATACAGTTTGGTTCCAGAATTGCTAACAAAAGGGAAAATGCTTCAGCTCAGTCTGAACATCTTAAATGTAATACTTAATTTTTTGATGCCTGAAATTATTTTAATAAAATTACACGTGTTCCAATTTACTCACGTTAAAAAACATTTTAGCAAAAATTTTTTTGATATTTTATTACATCTTTTTTATGTTTTATTTTTATGGCCTAATATCTTAAGAATATTGTGTCCAAGTTTAACATCGATCAGAGGAAAATTGACGAACTTATGCAGAGTTGAACGAAGGTCGGTTGGTGTTCAATGCATGAGCATCACAAAGTTTAAAGCGCTCTCCTTAAAAATGTCATTTCGGTGAAAATCGGTGTACACGATAACTCAAAATCTACTGAACCAATCGGTTTTAAATTTGGAACAAACCTTCTTTAAGTAATTCTACAGGTTTTGACTTCCGATTTCTCTCAATGTGAAACGTTTGAAGTGGCTCCGCTTCCTTCGGCAAAGGATGCAACTCTCCTTCCTTTTTCCCAAGCTTGCGGTTAGAAACGATTCAAGGAATGCAGCATCTGATCTGTCGTTGTATTTTCTCTTCTATTTTTGGGATAAAAAACACTTTGGCGATGATTTCTTTCGTTTTCTTTACAGGAAAATGTCCCTTTTCATGTGCTTGTCGAATAATTTCGCGTTGAAAGGCTGGTGGCACAACTATCAGGTCATCGTCGTCCACTAGTTTGTATAGGAGACCAGAATTCATAATGAAATTATTGTGACTCGGCTTCTCATTTAGGATATCAATAATAGCTTTCAGCTCTTCGTCCTGCGACTGAATGTATTTCAATTGGCTGTGCAAGGTTTCGTCGGAGATCATCATTATTTGCTTAAAACGTCAGCATGTCGTGTACGCGTTCCAGATCTGTGCTCAACATCAAAGTTAAACTCTTGCAGTTCGAGAATCCAACGAGCGACTCTAGTGCACACTTCTCTCTTCTCCATCGTCTTGGTAAAAGCATTGCAATCGCTAACCAACTTAAAACGCATACCTAGGAGATAAACTCTGAATTTTCGAAGGGCTTCAACCACTGCTAAGATCTCTAGCTCGTAACTGAAAAACTTTCGTTCGGCGTCTGTCGTTTTCTTACTCATGTAGTAAACTGGATGAATAAGACTATCGTTTGGAGATTTTTGAAGTAGAACTGCTCCGAAACCATCAATCGACGCATCTGTATGCAGCTCCGTTTCGTGTTGTGGATGAAAAATCTTAAGCACCGACTTCTGCGTGATCAAGTTTTTGAGTGTATCAATAGGAGCTATCTCTCTTTCGGTAATTACAAATTTGGTGTCGTGCTTCAAAAGATCAGTCAGGGGCTTCGCGATGATTGAAAAGTCAAGAATGAACTTCCGAAAATATCCAACTAAGCCCAGGAAGCTCTGCAATTGCTTCTGGTTTATCGGAACAGGGAATTTCGTCACGGTTTTGGTCTTTTCGTCAGATATGGTTATCTTTTGGTCTTCGATCACGTGCCTTAAAAATTCGATTCTCTTCTTTAGAAAGCAGCATTTCTTGAGATTGATCACCAATCCATATTCTTCGCATCAACTAATAACAGTTTTTAGATTCGATACGGCTTGTTCTTCGTTTGCGGCGGGAACTATAATATCGTCGACATATGGGATTGCTATACCAGAACGAGTCAAGTCTCGAAAGATAGCGTTAACGTGCCTTTGAAATACGCCTGGAGATTTCGTGAGGCCAAATTGGACTTTTAAGAAGTGGTACTGGCCATTGTGGGTTATGAAGGATGTAAACTTGCGACTATCCTCCTCAACGTTTACGTGGAAAAATCCGTTTTTCAGATCTAGTGTGCTGAATATTTTTGCATCTTGCAGACGGTCTAATTGGTCTACAATAAAGGGCAGGGGAAATAGATCTCGTACAATTACCTTGTTAATCCTCCTGTAATCGATACATAGCCTTGTTGAATTATCGCGTTTTTTCACAAGAACGACCGGACTGCTGTACTCAGACTCAGACTGTTCAATAATACCGTCTTTAAGCTCGACTTGATCATCAATTATGCATCTCTCGGAAAATGCAACGTTGGTTGACTTCGTGCTCACAGGCTTATAGTTTTTAATTAGGTCAGTTACTTCACGCTTGACTTGAAAACTCGCACTTTCGTCAATATTAATGCTTATATTATCTTCATTTTCCACGTTGATTTTCATTAGCGCACCTATTTCCACATCAGAGTCATGTTTGTCTGGATTTGTGATTTTTATTCCGTCGCGATTTATTTGAATTTCCGCATTGTTACAAAATTCTGCACCTGACACAACTTCAACGTCCAAAAAATCAGATGAAACCACCAGAAAAATTTTTTGAAACACCTGGCCTTCAACTTCGAACTCTTCTTTGAATGAACCGAAAGGCTTTACTCTGTTTTGATTTCCGAAACCGACAAGAACAACGTTTACAGCATTCAGCTTTGGCTTATTCAAACTTATGTACGTTTTTTCACCTATAATGTTGTATTTGCTGCCAGTGTCAAACAGGGCTGTATACTTCGTTTGCTTCATTGTAATCTCCTTGCACATCGATAATTTTTCTTCGGAAACTTTACGCGTATTGCTCGAATTTGCTACCGGTTCAATTTTGCCAACAGGACAGTCTTTCGAAATATGTCCATAATTGTTGCAATTAAAACACTTTCGACCATTGCTTTGATTAGAACACTGAGCGGCTGTATGTCCAAAAGCACCACAGTTAAAGCAATTTACTTTTTTCGGAACGGTTACATCTTTATGACCACCACTGTCTTTCGCACTTGAATATTTCAGTTTTTCTTCCTGATATTTCTTTCTTTAAACTCCTTCATGTCCTTCGCATTGTACAATATTGATTTATTTACACTTAAATCGTTTATGCCATCGATCACGTACTGCATAAGCGCACTACTGTCTACACTGCCACGAGAAGCTATCTCTTTCATTTTGAGAAGATATTCTTGCACGCTCTCGCTGTTCTTAATTTTTCGCTCGGACAGCATTTTATGTATTTAAGCACCGTTTACTTCCGTTTTAAACTCGTTGATCAGGGTATTTTTCAACATTTGCCAGCTTCTTATGCCACGCTCACTCATTATAAACATTTTAGCTAGCCCTTTCAAAGACCGTTGTGCGAAAATGAATTTTTGAAGATCATCCCAGTACATGATCGAAGCCATGTCCTCAAAATTATGCACCCACACCTCCACTGCCAACGTGTCGACACCGTTAAATGGTCTAATCAAGTCCTCAACATCCCGGAAGTTAACCGAAAATCGCGGCGAACCCGTGCCAAAACTTTGCACTGAGCTCACATCATTATTATCGGACGCGACGGTATTCTTCTTCTTCTTTCCTTGTTGTTGTGTGTTGCTTCTAAAAGAGCGAAAATCCTCCTCTTCGCTGCTCGCACTCATTGCCTTGCTATCAGCTCTCTCTGTCCTGCTCTAGTTCTCATACGGTTCTGTATGCCACTCTCTTCGTTTTCGTCTTCTTCCTCATATTCGTCATCTTCGTCGTCCTCTTCACCGATATCTTTCAGCAAATTTCCAGACCGCAAATTCCGGAAAATATGAAGCATGAGGTCATCTTTGTCATGTTGCAGTCCCAATATGTTGCAAATTACAGCAAGATCGTTGTTGGTCAAGTTTTCAGCCACGTACGAAACTTTTTTAGCAAAAAGATCATCCTCTTCCGTAAAGCCGAATCCATCGAAGTTACGCAATCGTTTTCGATTATGCCGATCGCCGTTGTTTTCATACACAAACATGTGCGGAAGGTCTACATTCTTTTTCTTCTCCGTTTTTAATGCCTGAAGCACTACATCCAAATCAGCTAGTTGAGACATTTTGTGTATATTGTGAAATACGTTCCTGTGAACACGTCGTTGCACGTCGTTGTCTCACTACGTTCGTCGTTCTTTTTCACGTCTGTTCTACCCGTCGTTTACATACACTTATGCGTCGTTCTAAATGTATGCGTGCAGATCAGCGATGTGTGTGTAGCGTCGTCTTCGTTTTGAATTTCACAATTCCTCTACTCGTCCCTATATACACGTATGCGTCGTTGTGTGTGTGCAGCGTCGTCGGCGTTTTGAATTTCACAATTTGAAATTTACACACTTTTTAATCAATTTTTCATCGTTTTAAATCAGTTTTTCATCGTTTCTTTAATCTCACTTTAACACGTAGGTTGAGCCCCCATATTTGTGGGATTGGTTTCCTTTTTAAATGAGAAGTCCCACTAGTTTTAAGTTTTATTATAGTACATACAGTCCCGCACTAAACTGTTGGCACAGTTGAAAAGCTCAACTTTAAATGTCATTTCCAGGCGTATGCAGCCCTTAAATGAATCCATTTTTTTAAATATAGTTAAATTAAGCATTTGTTTATACAAAGGCACTTATTTTTTTGTTATATTTTCCATATATTTTTAAATATTTAAACATTAAAGAAAAATTACCATATTTCGTGACACAAAAGTCTTGGCACACTTCACCTAAAAACTTTTTTTTTTTTTTTAATTTAACATAATTATTAATACTTATTTGGTAGTCCTTTATGCCTTATTATATCTTTAAGATGTCTAGGCAAAAAAGCCACCACTTTTTCGGTGGTTTCTTCGGAAATATTTCGCCATTTCTCCGATAACTGCCTTTTTAAGGTAATTTTTTGATGAAATGTTGTGTTTTTTCGTCTATCTATTGAATTCCTCCCACAAATGTTCTACCCGGTGACTGTGTTGGAAGTGGCAGCTGATTTGTTGTATTCTGGGAGAGTCACAAACGCACATCTTTGGCAGAATCCTTCGAAGCTTTTCAACTGTGCCAACAGTTTAGTGCGGGACTGTACATATTTAATGATATTTTATAGTAGATAGTTTAGTTAAGTATAAAGTGATCGTTTACATGTATTTTAGAATAGTTTGAAACAGGTTTTTGTCGTTTTTAACTTCGTTTATATGATATGAGCATTCAAAGTCGAAATTGTTTTCCGTGTATGCGTCATACAACAAAAAATAGGTAAATTAGTCGACTTTCAGGTAATATTACACAAAAACTACATAACCAATGGTCTTGATTTTTTTTTAAATAACAGGTATATTCATTACCTCTTATTCAAATTAAAAAAAGGGTAGTTTTGTGTGGGCTTGTACAGGTAAATCGCTACCTGCCAGGTGTCTATTTTTTCACCTTTTTCTGACTAAAGTAGTCTATAACTTCTGAAGCTGCCCAGAGCCGGCTACTACACTATGACTACGCACTGCGTGTATCTTTCCTGAATCAGAATCCGTTTAGAAAGTCTGCGTCCAGCTGCGACTCTGGCATTGCGAAGCATAACACTGAAACTCAGGGTAAAATATACCAAAATACCGACACAATTTCATACAAACCAACAAAAAATACTAACTGTAGCGCTCACGGTTCTGTGGCGGTTAAATTTTTTCAGTTTTCAAATTATTTTTATTTAAGCAAATACATTAAAATAAAGATAAAAAATTAAATACAAAATATTTTTAAAAAATTGTCTTCATTGAGAAAAAAATATTTCTTCACTTTGATACCCTTTAAAAAGGCGAATGAGTGGGCGTGGCAGATTTTCCAATACATATGTAAATTTTACAACAATTACCTGTCAGATGGCGTTTAAATTATTTAGTTATCTTGTTTTGTTCAAAAGTTATGATTTTTGCAACGTAAAATGAGAAAAGGCGCTACTGTGCGTCGTAAGCTAGCGCGTCTTTTCGTCGTTGTCTCTCGTTGCGAACTCCCGCTTTTCACCTTCCGTCTCTCCTTCTTCTGTGGTGTGGTGGGTTAGGTGGAACGGCGTTGCCAGACCCACATATATTCTGCCTCCCACACAGGAACTAAAATTGCATTATTAAATAAAAAATTGTAAAAGTTCGAATAAATTAAATACAAATATCTACAATGTAAAAAATGCGGCAAATTCAAATCAACGAGTGCGGCTGCGACTACGATTGTATTTCCCTATTTTCAAAATTAATCGCCAGCGGCCGTGTTTTTATTGTCGATGTTTTGCCGGCGGCAAAACCCAGTGCCCGTTGTTCTTCCAAACAAAAGCCAAGGTTTTAATTCCACCTTTCCGGCTCCGTAATGAGTGCGCCGAAATAATTTATTATTTGCGGCCAATAATTTTCAAAATTATTCATTAATTTATCCATTTTTTATTACGGGAAGAAATCAAACATTCGTGGGTCTCTGTTTTTCCTGTTCTGTACGAACAATGCCGGATACAAGCTTTTCGTCCGAAATACATAAATACAAAAATTTTGTTCCACTGTATAAAGCCTCGACATTCCGGTCTACGCTCGCTGTTTTTTTTTTTTCAAATCGGCTCCCGACGCCTCACTCGAGTTATTTTCTCCTCCACAAGATTTCGTAATTTTTCTCGGTGATGCCAGAGGCTCTCAGAACCTGAGCCCGGCGCCTTCCTCGAATATTACTATTTTTCTCCTGTGCGCCCCGAGGCTTTTGTTTTTAGGCTTTGCTTTTATTTATTGAATCTTCTCATTTTTGAGACTAACAATAAGTGTATCAAATCTTACAATACTACCTAACTAGCAGTCATGAGACTGGTACAGAGTAAATGGCCCTGACTAATTATGGCTGGGTTGGATGGTCGTTACGTAGTAGGCGGCTTCTTCTGGAAACTCGTATCAAGTCCCTTGCTAAAGGATTTGGATGGGTGGAGAGTTTTTCCTTGTAGGACGCTTTTTGTTTTTCTATTTCGTTCTTAACTGCAGGAATGCCGAGATCCCTGTGGATGTGTTCGTTGCGAATATACCATGGTGCCATGGTGATAGTCCTCAGGATTTTTGATTGGGCGCGCTGTATGATGTCTAGATTGGTACTGCACGCGTTCCCCCAGAGCTGGGAGCCATACGTCCATATTGGCTTCAGTGTGGTGTTGTAGAGCAGGACCTTGTAGTCCAGACACAGGGGCGATCGGGATGAATTGATGATGAATTTTCTTGCATTCAATGTGTCTTCGCCATGTTAGGCGTCTGTCCAGGTGGACGCCCAGGTACGTTACCACGTTGACTTCGGGGATCTGCGTGCTGTTCAGGTAGATCGGAGGGCATGTTTGTCTGTTGAGAGTGAACGTTATGTGCTTACACTTTTGTTCATTTATTTTAATACGCCAATCACTTCTCGACTGCCTTGAGGTGGTTAGCGAGCTGGGTTGTTGCCCGAACTGGACATCTGGAACGGCTGAGGATCGCAGTGTCGTCAGCGAAAGTGGATAGTGTTAGCTGGTCGCTTGTGGGGATATCCGCTGTGTATAGTACAAATAGGGTAGCCCCAAGTGCGCTTCCTTGTGGATTTCTAGCTTCGATTGAATAGGTTGCACCTATGGCAGCCGATGAATGAGTACGCAGAGCAGCTTTTATACAACCTTGATGTTGTAGTTGGCCTGAAAACTACAGTAGAAAGTATAATTTCGCCTAGTTGGCTCCTAAAAAAAAATTTGGAATTTGACTATGATTTCTATAAATTTCCTTATAATGCTGACCATGTGGAGCTCTATCAAAATCTTATAAATCAACCACAGATTAAAGCATCGCTAAACACTCTTGATAAATTGCTTTCTAACTCTGTAGCAAACCGTGTTAAATGTACGGCTCCATTATGTCGAATCTGTTTAAGCGAACTTAATCAGAAGGAAACTGTCTGCAGGCATGCCAAAATATGCATTTTATTTTCAGGCGGCATAGATTGTACCATCTTGGCCTTACTTGCCAACAAATTTGTGCCCTATAATGAGCCGATTGAACTTATTAATGTTGCCTTCGAAAGCCTTAGCGGTCAAAACGTATCTGAGAAGCTTTGGGATGTACCTGACCGCAGAACTTCTCTTATGTCTGTCAACGAATTAAAGCGAATATGTCCTGAGCGGTTCTGGAATTTGCTGGAAGTTAATGTCACCCGCGAGGAGTTAAAAACACAACTTTCAACGCGTATAAAAAATCTCATATATCCACTTCAGACAATCTTGGATGAGAGTTTGGGATGTGCCTACTGGTTTGCTTCAAATTGCCCAAATTCAACTGCCCGAGTGGCCCTGATAGGTAGTGGAGCAGATGAGTTATTTGGTGGATATTGCCGTCATCGAAATGCATATAGGCGTTGCCTAGGAACCAATTCGGAGCGCCAACTTTCTGTGCAAAGCGAGCTTGATGTTGACTGGCAACGAATACCGGCCCGGAACTTGGCCAGAGATGATCGAGTTATTGCAGACAATGGCAAAACAGCGCGTTCACCATTCATCGAGGAGAACATTGTTCAATTTCTTAGATCTTTAGAACCGTTCCAAAAATGTTGCTTTAGTTTTCCCGAGGGTGTAGGAGATAAGTTGCTTCTAAGGCTGTACGGCTATAAAATCGGTCTGCGAGACGTGGCTTTGTTAAAAAAAAGAGCAATACAGTTTGGTTCCAGAATTGCTAACAAAAGGGAAAATGCTTCAGCTCAGTCTGAACATCTTAAATGTAATACTTAATTTTTTGATGCCTGAAATTATTTTAATAAAATTACACGTGTTCCAATTTACTCACGTTAAAAAACATTTTAGCAAAAATTTTTTTGATATTTTATTACATCTTTTTTATGTTTTATTTTTATGGCCTAATATCTTAAGAATATTGTGTCCAAGTTTAACATCGATCAGAGGAAAATTGACGAACTTATGCAGAGTTGAACGAAGGTCGGTTGGTGTTCAATGCATGAGCATCACAAAGTTTAAAGCGCTCTCCTTAAAAATGTCATTTCGGTGAAAATCGGTGTACACGATAACTCAAAATCTACTGAACCAATCGGTTTTAAATTTGGAACAAACCTTCTTTAAGTAATTCTACAGGTTTTGACTTCCGATTTCTCTCAATGTGAAACGTTTGAAGTGGCTCCGCTTCCTTCGGCAAAGGATGCAACTCTCCTTCCTTTTTCCCAAGCTTGCGGTTAGAAACGATTCAAGGAATGCAGCATCTGATCTGTCGTTGTATTTTCTCTTCTATTTTTGGGATAAAAAACACTTTGGCGATGATTTCTTTCGTTTTCTTTACAGAAAAATGTCCCTTTTCATGTGCTTGTCGAATAATTTCGCGTTGAAAGGCTGGTGGCACAACTATCAGGTCATCGTCGTCCACTAGTTTGTATAGGAGACCAGAATTCATAATGAAATTATTGTGACTCGGCTTCTCATTTAGGATATCAATAATAGCTTTCAGCTCTTCGTCCTGCGACTGAATGTATTTCAATTGGCTGTGCAAGGTTTCGTCGGAGATCATCATTATTTGCTTAAAACGTCAGCATGTCGTGTACGCGTTCCAGATCTGTGCTCAACATCAAAGTTAAACTCTTGCAGTTCGAGAATCCAACGAGCGACTCTAGTGCACACTTCTCTCTTCTCCATCGTCTTGGTAAAAGCATTGCAATCGCTAACCAACTTAAAACGCATACCTAGGAGATAAACTCTGAATTTTCGAAGGGCTTCAACCACTGCTAAGATCTCTAGCTCGTAACTGAAAAACTTTCGTTCGGCGTCTGTCGTTTTCTTACTCATGTAGTAAACTGGATGAATAAGACTATCGTTTGGAGATTTTTGAAGTAGAACTGCTCCGAAACCATCAATCGACGCATCTGTATGCAGCTCCGTTTCGTGTTGTGGATGAAAAATCTTAAGCACCGACTTCTGCGTGATCAAGTTTTTGAGTGTATCAATAGGAGCTATCTCTCTTTGGGTAATTACAAATTTGGTGTCGTGCTTCAAAAGATCAGTCAGGGGCTTCGCGATGATTGAAAAGTCAAGAATGAACTTCCGAAAATATCCAACTAAGCCCAGGAAGCTCTGCAATTGCTTCTGGTTTATCGGAACAGGGAATTTCGTCACGGTTTTGGTCTTTTCGTCAGATATGGTTATCTTTTGGTCTTCGATCACGTGCCTTAAAAATTCGATTCTCTTCTTTAGAAAGCAGCATTTCTTGAGATTGATCACCAATCCATATTCTTCGCATCAACTAATAACAGTTTTTAGATTCGATACGGCTTGTTCTTCGTTTGCAGCGGGAACTATAATATCGTCGACATATGGGATTGCTATACCAGAACGAGTCAAGTCTCGAAAGATAGCGTTAACGTGCCTTTCAAATACGCCTGGAGATTTCGTGAGGCCAAATTGGACTTTTAAGAAGTGGTACTGGCCATTGTGGGTTATGAAGGATGTAAACTTGCGACTATCCTCCTCAACGTTTACGTGGAAAAATCCGTTTTTCAGATCTAGTGTGCTGAATATTTTTGCATCTTGCAGACGGTCTAATTGGTCTACAATCAAGGGCAGGGGAAATAGATCTCGTACAATTACCTTGTTAATCCTCCTGTAATCGATACATAGCCTTGTTGAATTATCGCGTTTTTTCACAAGAACGACCGGACTGCTGTACTCAGACTCAGACTGTTCAATAATACCGTCTTTAAGCTCGACTTGATCATCAATTATGCATCTCTCGGAAAATGCAACGTTGGTTGACTTCGTGCTCACAGGCTTATAGTTTTTAATTAGGTCAGTTACTTCACGCTTGACTTGAAAACTCGCACTTTCGTCAATATTAATGCTTATATTATCTTCATTTTCCACGTTGATTTTCATTAGCGCACCTATTTCCACATCAGAGTCATGTTTGTCTGGATTTGTGATTTTTATTCCGTCGCGATTTATTTGAATTTCCGCATTGTTACAAAATTCTGCACCTGACACAACTCCAACGTCCAAAAAATCAGATGAAACCACCAGAAAAATTTTTTGAAACACCTGGCCGTCAACTTCGAACTCTTCTTTGAATGAACCGAAAGGCTTTACTCTGTTTTGATTTCCGAAACCGACAAGAACAACGTTTACAGCATTCAGCTTTGGCTTATTCAAACTTATGTACGTTTTTTCACCTATAATGTTGTATTTGCTGCCAGTGTCAAACAGGGCTGTATACTTCGTTTGCTTCATTGTAATCTCCTTGCACATCGATAATTTTTCTTCGGAAACTTTACGCGTATTGCTCGAATTTGCTACCGGTTCAATTTTGCCAACAGGACAGTCTTTCGAAATATGTCCATAATTGTTGCAATTAAAACACTTTCGACCATTGCTTTGATTAGAACACTGAGCGGCTGTATGTCCAAAAGCACCACAGTTAAAGCAATTTACTTTTTTCGGAACGGTTACATCTTTATGACCACCACTGTCTTTCGCACTTGAATATTTCAGTTTTTCTTCCTGATATTTCTTTCTTTAAACTCCTTCATGTCCTTCGCATTGTACAATATTGATTTATTTACACTTAAATCGTTTATGCCATCGATCACGTACTGCATAAGCGCACTACTGTCTACACTGCCACGAGAAGCTATCTCTTTCATTTTGAGAAGATATTCTTGCACGCTCTCGCTGTTCTTAATTTTTCGCTCGGACAGCATTTTATGTATTTAAGCACCGTTTACTTCCGTTTTAAACTCGTTGATCAGGGTATTTTTCAACATTTGCCAGCTTCTTATGCCACGCTCACTCATTATAAACATTTTAGCTAGCCCTTTCAAAGACCGTTGTGCGAAAATGAATTTTTGAAGATCATCCCAGTACATGATCGAAGCCATGTCCTCAAAATTATGCACCCACACCTCCACTGCCAACGTGTCGACACCGTTAAATGGTCTAATCAAGTCCTCAACATCCCGGAAGTTAACCGAAAATCGCGGCGAACCCGTGCCAAAACTTTGCACTGAGCTCACATCATTATTATCGGACGCGACGGTATTCTTCTTCTTCTTTCCTTGTTGTTGTGTGTTGCTTCTAAAAGAGCGAAAATCCTCCTCTTCGCTGCTCGCACTCATTGCCTTGCTATCAGCTCTCTCTGTCCTGCTCTAGTTCTCATACGGTTCTGTATGCCACTCTCTTCGTTTTCGTCTTCTTCCTCATATTCGTCATCTTCGTCGTCCTCTTCACCGATATCTTTCAGCAAATTTCCAGACCGCAAATTCCGGAAAATATGAAGCATGAGGTCATCTTTGTCATGTTGCAGTCCCAATATGTTGCAAATTACAGCAAGATCGTTGTTGGTCAAGTTTTCAGCCACGTACGAAACTTTTTTAGCAAAAAGATCATCCTCTTCCGTAAAGCCGAATCCATCGAAGTTACGCAATCGTTTTCGATTATGCCGATCGCCGTTGTTTTCATACACAAACATGTGCGGAAGGTCTACATTCTTTTTCTTCTCCGTTTTTAATGCCTGAAGCACTACATCCAAATCAGCTAGTTGAGACATTTTGTGTATATTGTGAAATACGTTCCTGTGAACACGTCGTTGCACGTCGTTGTCTCACTACGTTCGTCGTTCTTTTTCACGTCTGTTCTACCCGTCGTTTACATACACTTATGCGTCGTTCTAAATGTATGCGTGCAGATCAGCGATGTGTGTGTAGCGTCGTCTTCGTTTTGAATTTCACAATTCCTCTACTCGTCCCTATATACACGTATGCGTCGTTGTGTGTGTGCAGCGTCGTCGGCGTTTTGAATTTCACAATTTGAAATTTACACACTTTTTAATCAATTTTTCATCGTTTTAAATCAGTTTTTCATCGTTTCTTTAATCTCACTTTAACACGTAGGTTGAGCCCCCATATTTGTGGGATTGGTTTCCTTTTTAAATGAGAAGTCCCACTAGTTTTAAGTTTTATTATAGTACATACAGTCCCGCACTAAACTGTTGGCACAGTTGAAAAGCTCAACTTTAAATGTCATTTCCAGGCGTATGCAGCCCTTAAATGAATCCATTTTTTTAAATATAGTTAAATTAAGCATTTGTTTATACAAAGGCACTTATTTTTTTGTTATATTTTCCATATATTTTTAAATATTTAAACATTAAAGAAAAATGACCATATTTCGTGACACAAAAGTCTTGGCACACTTCACCTAAAAACTTTTTTTTTTTTTTTAATTTAACATAATTATTAATACTTATTTGGTAGTCCTTTATGCCTTATTATATCTTTAAGATGTCTAGGCAAAAAAGCCACCACTTTTTCGGTGGTTTCTTCGGAAATATTTCGCCATTTCTCCGATAACTGCCTTTTTAAGGTAATTTTTTGATGAAATGTTGTGTTTTTTCGTCTATCTATTGAATTCCTCCCACAAATGTTCTACCCGGTGACTGTGTTGGAAGTGGCAGCTGATTTGTTGTATTCTGGGAGAGTCACAAACGCACATCTTTGGCAGAGTCCTTCGAAGCTTTTCAACTGTGCCAACAGTTTAGTGCGGGACTGTACATATTTAATGATATTTTATAGTAGATAGTTTAGTTAAGTATAAAGTGATCGTTTACATGTATTTTAGAATAGTTTGAAACAGGTTTTTGTCGTTTTTAACTTCGTTTATATGATATGAGCATTCAAAGTCGAAATTGTTTTCCGTGTATGCGTCATACAACAAAAAATAGGTAAATTAGTCGACTTTCAGGTAATATTACACAAAAACTACATAACCAATGGTCTTGATTTTTTTTTTAAATAACAGGTATATTCATTAC